GCCACCCCCAGCGCCTGGATGGCCGGGCCCTGCCAAGGTCCGGCCGGCGGTCAGATTCCCCCCACGACGTGGACCTCTGCCTGGTGTCCCCTTGTGAGTTTGAGCACCCCAAGTCGGACAGGTCCCCGTCGGCCAACTTCAGCCCCCGGGACATGTCCAACAGCAGCGACTTCTCCCAGGAGCTGGCCAAGCCCCCGTCTCACAGGAAGGGCCCCCGCGGCCGCCGGTCCCACCCTCTCCTGGACGAGACCCCGCCAACGTCCTTCAGCGAATCGCTGCCCACCCTCTCCGATTCGGACCCCCCGCCCGCCATGGAGGAGTGCCCTTCTCTCACGGCCGACGGTGGGCTGGACTCGGAAGATGACGACGACCCAGAGAGCCTAGCCCAGGCCCGCGACCCACTCCCGGCCGTCCTGAAAGACCCCTGCCCTCTCCCTGCCCAGCCGGGCATCTGCATGGTGGACCCCGAGAGAGAAGGGGCCGCCAAGGCCAAGCGAGCCCCATCGCGGGGGGCTTCTGCCCCTCCCAAAACAGACGCCCCCAAGGCCGCCGCTCCCAGTGCCCGGGCGAAGCCTTCCTCGGCCAGCGTGGGTGAGAGACCCCGGCTGTCGGCCCCTGGCAGAAGCGACCCCCCGGCCTCTCGCGCCAGCGGGGACAACCGGCTGGCCTTTGCCCAGCGGAACGCAAACACCCGGCCTCTCACGGCGGGAGGAAGAACTGCCACGGCAGGTAAGGGGGCAGCGTTGCCCTTCCCCACTCGGAGGAGGTGCCCGATGCCAGGAATCGGCCGGGAGCCCCTCTGAGAACCGAATTCGGCAAGTCGGCTTGTGCCGGGCAGCCCCCTCCCCCTTCTTAGGGCCAAGTGAATTAAGTGCCTGACCTGTTTCTCCCAGTTCCCGCTGGTTTTGGCCTTTGGCTCCCCTCCCCCTCCTCGCTTTGGAGACGGGCCTGGTCAGCAGCCTCTGCCGGGGTCATTTGCTAGACGTGGTGTTTTCTTTTGGTCTCAATGACCGGTCAGCCAAGGCCAGGGATCGCTTGATTGCCTGCTGAGAAGGCCATTTTGGGGGTTCTCCCCCGAGTTTATCCCTGCAGATGCCCAGTGGGGAGGGTGGGCTGAAGAAGTCAACGGGGGGGGGGCTCCTTGTGTTAAGTGGGGTGGGAGGTGGGCTCTGTCCTGGGCTCAGCTGGGACTGTTTCCTGGCAGCCCCGTCCTTGGGTCTTTGGCCGCCCCCCCTGCTCCCCTTCTGAAGGTGGCCCCCTCTGCTCTTCTCCCTCCACAGGGTCCCGGCCCGGCCTGTCCCGCTGCCCTGTCTACCTGGAGCTGGCCTACATCCCGGGCTCGGCCAGCGCCCAGAAGGTGGACGAGGACTTCTTCCGCTGCGTCCGCTCCCAGTGCTACGTCATCAGCGGGCAGGACCACCTGAAGGAGGGCGCCATGCGGGGCATCCTGGACGCCCTGCTCTCCGGGAAGCAGCACTGGGCCCACGACACCCAGGTAGGGCCCCCCGGGGGAGGGTCAGGGTTAGGGGCGGCCTGGGTGGCCACGTGGGCCTCCCGGGGCCAGGCTTGGTTGTGAGGGGCGCTGGCGTTCCCGGCCCCCTGCCTCGACTGAGGGAAGCTATTCAGGGATTCCTGCCGAGAACGGGATCCAGTAGGTCACCTCTGAAGGATTCCCATCCTGCCTGTCGGAGACACCTGCCCCCCCCCTGAAGGAGAGCCCCCTGGTTCCCACAGCCCGGAGGGGGCTTCTGAACCGTTTCCTCCTACCTTTCACCCCTTGCCCTATTCCAGCCTCTGGGGCAAGGGGAAGGAGCCCGCTCTCCCTCTCTGTGGGGCAGCCCCCCAGATATCGGAAGGGGCCGTGGCCTTTCCCCTCTCCTGCAGACTGCAAGGTCCCAAGTCTTTCTCCCTCTGGGGGGGAGGGGGGGTTAAGTCCCCAGGCTCTCCACCCCCTCCACGGTCGTCCTTGGCACTTGCTCCCCCCCCCCGCCCGTCCTCCCTCTGAGCTGGGCTCTCCGGAGGGAGTGAGGAGGCCAAGAGGGGGCCTGGCAGAGGTGGGCTGGGCTGGGGTCTCCTCTTAATGTACCTTTGAGGTCCAGCTGGGGGTCACCCGAGAGACCCAGGCCCCCCTACCCGAAGGCAAAGCTGCTTGTTTCCCCTGTTGAATTCCTGCCCTGGGGAGGGGGGGGGCTCTCCAATGTTTGATCATCGGGATTTAGAAACCCCAGAAGACTCTGATCTCATAGAACCTGGCACACTGGGTCTCCTGCCCAGCGGGAAACCGGAGACGGGGCGGGCGCCAGAGATGGCTGCGTCTCTGGTGACCGAGGAGGGGAGCCGGGCTGGGGGTGGGGGGGAAGTGACCGTCTGGTCCCTGCCGTCCCGGAAGGGAATTGATTCCGAGGCTTTCAAGCCACCTGGAGTCAAAGGATGAGGCTGCTGACCGCTGAGCCGCACTCCTCCATTTCTGACCAAGCTGTGCACTGTTAAAGGGAGCCTCCGTGGAGAGGGGGGGCGCCCTGCCTTTCCTGCTGGGGCTCCCAGGGAGGGCTTCCTTCTGGTCCGAGCCCTCCTGAGGGGGAGGGGGGCGGAGGGCAACCGGGCCCCCGGGCTGGCCGCTGCTCCCAGCAAAGCCCTCCTTCCCTCCTCCCGTCTCTGCCCTGCCCAGGTGACCCTCATCCCGACCTTCGACTCGCTGGCCATGCACGAGTGGTACGCGGAGACGCTGGAGCGGCAGCAGGAGCTGGGCGTGACCGTCCTGGGCAGCAACAGCACGGTGGCCATGCAGGACGAGACCTTCCCGGCCTGCAAAGTGGAGTTCTGAACTGAGGCTGAAGGGGGGGGAGTGTCCTGCTCCCTCCCCCCCTCCCCGATGGGCCAGCCGGCCTGGGAAGGGGCGCCTTCCCCCCCATGGCTGTGCTTCCCGCCAAAAGAGGACGGGGGGGGGACACCAGAGGCGCTGGGCCTGTCCCTTTGGGAATTGCAGCCTCTTTGTCTGGTTTGTTTGCATGTTCACCGCTGGCCCAGCCCAGGGAGGGAGGCGGGGGGGGGCGGGAGAGGCCCGGCCGTGGCTCCCCCAGGGCACCTTTGGGCAGCTGCTTCTCTTGCACACACACCCCCTTTGTGTGGGACTAGGTGGCCCCCCGCCTGCAGAAGCCCTTCCTTATCCTCTGGGAAGAGCCCAACGGGTGGGCACAGGGCCCAGCCAGGGCCTCTCGTACTGGCCCCTCCTGCCCCCCACCCCCACTGGCCCTGCCATCACACACACACACACACACACAACCCCCCGCCTGCCGAGGGATGGCAGACAGCTGTGGGGCCATCGTGGCCCCTTCCAGGCCGATGGTCCTTTTGGGGGGCCTCCCCAGGTGTGAGACCTTGGTGAAGCTTGCAGGGGGGCGGATTTCCTGGGGAGGCTGGGGGTGTGTGTCAAACATTCCCAGCTGCCCCCCCCCTTCCCTTCAGCCTCACACTCCAGACTTCTTCTACCTCTTTATGTTCAAAACCTTGGAGGGGGGCTGGGCAGTTTTTTCTGGAGGCTTCAGCCACAAAGGCCCAAATCCAGCCGATGGATGGCCTCTCCAGGGGGGGGGCTTTGGGCAGCTCTGGAAAGCCCCCCCTCCCCTCTTTTTAACGTTTGAAGGAAAGTTGGGGGGAAAAAGCCCCTTGCAATGTGACACTAAGTCTTTCGTTTTCTAAGGAAGGAAATAAGGTGTTTTTTTTTTAATGTGTTTTATATTTTTTTTTCTAAAAAAAAAAACCCCACCAAAACTGTTACTATAAGGAAGGTTTATAATTTATAGGACTGCCTCCTGCGTGAAGGGAGGTCAGGGGTGGGCCTCCCCCTTTGCTTGTCCTCCCCACCCCATTTCCTCCTGTCTTTTGTATCAGCATGATGTGTGTCTAGAAGTATTTTGGGGAGGGGGGACGCTTTCACCGCCTAGCAGGGGAGGGCGGGGGAAGGGGAGGGCTGGCTGGCTGGCTACCTTGGGGGGGTCTTCCTCCTCTTCCTGGCCTGAGGTGACCTCCCCCTCCCCTCCCAGCCGCAGGGGAAAAGAAGGATGTGGTTGTTGTAGCCATTACAGTTAACCCCGTGATACACAATGTTATGTGTGTACACACACAAATGCACACCTGTGTTGAACTCTATTAAACCATTAAAGAAGTACGTAGCTCAGCACGTCTCTTGTGCCATGTGGGAAGTTATCTCGCCATCCCGGGCGCCCCTTTAGCTGCTGCCAAGCCCCCCAGACACCCCCCCAGGTGCTCTGGAGGGAAGTCTGTGGGGTCTGGCTCCCGAGCCCCCCCCCTGTGAGCTGGGCAGAACGGCTGCCTGTGTAAAACGGCTTTGACTGTGGCCCCCTCGGCAAAGGCAGCAGGGCTGGGGGGGGATCTGGGGGAGGAGTGCCCTTCCCACCTTGCCAGGGTGCAAGCGGGGTCACAGGTCACCGTGGGGAGGGGGGCATTTGGAGCACGTGGATGGCCCTGCAGAGGTCAAGCTGTGCTGTGGGGCGCCAGCAGAACACCCAGCAATGGAGGCTGCGGCCCTCTGCATGCCGCCTGGTTCCGGCCTCCGGCCGGGGTCCCCTTTCCCTGGACAGCCAGAGGGTGTGAGGTGGCCAGCAAGGGGGGCCCAACAGGGATATGTCTAGCCTAAGGAAGAGGGGGGACAGGATAGTCGTCTTCCAATATTTGAGGGGCTGCCCCAAAGAAGAGGGAGTCAAGCTCTTCTCCAAAGGGCCTGAAGGCAGCACAAGAAGCAACAGATGGAAACTCATCAAGGAGAGAAGCAACCTGGGCGCTATCCAACAAAATGAAATTCAAGGGTGAAAAAAGCAAGGTTCTACATTTAGGCAAGAAAAACCAAATGCACAAGTACAGCATAGGTGGCACCTTGCTCAATAGTAGTAACTGTGAGAGGGACCTCGGAGTCCTAGTGGACAATCACCTAAATATGAGCCAGCCGTGTGCTGCAGCTGCCAAAAAGGCCAACACAGTGCTAGGATGCATTAACAGAGGGATAGAATCAAGATCACGTGAAGTGTTAATACCACTTCACAATGCCTTGGTAAGGCCACACTTGGAATACTGCATCCAGTTTTGGTCACCGCGATGCAAAAAAGATGTTGAGACTTTAGAAAGAGTGCAGAGAAGAGCAACAAAGATGATCAGGGGACTGGAGGCTAAAGCATATAAGGAACGGCTGCTGGAATTGGGTATGTCTAGTTTAATGAAGAGAAGGACGAGGGGGGACATGATAGCAGCCTTCCAGTATCTCAGGGGCTGCCCCAAAGAAGAGGGAGTCAAGCTATTCTCCAGAGCGCCTGAAGGCAGAACAAGAAGCAACAGATGGAAACTAATCGAGAAGCAACCTAGAACTAAGGAGAAACTTCCTGACAATGAAACCAATCAGTGGAACGACCTGCCTCCAGAAGTGGTGAATGCTCCAACACTGGAAGTTTTTAAGAAGAGATTGGACAAATATTTGTCTGAAATGGGTATAGGATTTCCTGCCTGAGCAGGGGGTTGGACTAGATGACCTCCGAGGTACCTTCCAACTCTATTGTTATTAGGGATGGCCAAAGAGGCCTGAGATGGCAAAGGGTGAGGCCAGCCAGTGATGCCAATTGGGGGGGGGG